TAATGTAGCTGTATGTGAATGTAAACGATCTGCAAAGTTGTAAAGCTGAAAGTGCACGATAAATAAAGTTATCGTCTCCCAAAATAAAGAATCGACTCTGAACAGCTGAAACGAGTCGCTAGTAATTCGAATCCCACTTCGAATGGGTAACATTTGCATAATGCACGCCTATGTTCTCCGTTGGCCGGCCGCGAACAACTTGACCCCGCCCACAAACACGTCATTCTACTGACGACTGCTTCTCTAATCTCGGGGAGTTCAACACGGGATTCACAAAACGCTTGCTGTTGAAATATGGATCAGTATCCTGTTTATTTGGACCAGCTGCTCCACTGAATCACAACCTGTAAGTATGATAAATAATAGATGTTTAGATTTACTATAGAGCGTTCAAAATACAGAACTATTGAAATAGGCGTATCGTTTCCGAAACGATCTGTACGCCGTAGACCAATCACAACAGACTAGGCCATCTGACCAATCAGAGCAGAGCCGGCTCACGGAAAGGAGGGGTTTAGAGAGACTGAATCTTTGAACTGCTTCGAACGAATCGTTTGAGAATCCCTGGAAAATGAGGTGATATTAAATGCATATTTTGAGAAAACGAAAGCGTTTTGTGTCCTTGCATGCATGTAATCCTATTGTAGGAGACTCCCAAAACAATATTAGGAACCGTAAAAATTGCATAATAGGGGCACTTTAATAGAAATGTCCCCCACTTCCGCAGTTATATTTCTCTTTAGTTGCATTCACTTATTTTCTAAAGTCATTTTGAATGTTGTTAAATTGTCAACTAAACCTTTTGTGACAACATTACATAAGTTGACTACATTAATTTACATGTAGTCACAATGCAATTCTCTTCCTATCAGTGCAACGGTATCAAAAAATAATACTTTAAAGGTAGAACACTGACTAATTTGATGTGGCAATGTAAAGTTATGATTAATAAAATCGCACTATAACACATTTATTATAAACGTCATTCTATTGTGATAAATAAGACTAATAATGCGGTTGATTTACTCCCCCTTTAACTGTGACAGTATCAAGTGCCTTTAATAATGTCACAGACATCAACATTTTGAACACAAAACACAACAATGGTAACAATCAAAATAATTTTGATAGTAAAACTGAATATTACTAAACATTTTTACTGTCTTTGTTGTGTCAGTGTAACTTCAGGTAAACATACCTTACTTTTTTAGGCATGGAGTTTATTTCCTTTTTTTTTAAGGCAATGGATTTCCTCACTTTATTTAAACTGAAGTAAATGAATCACTCTTTTATAGTGATTATAACCATAAAGTTGTCAAAACTGTTCCAGCTCTAAGACAACAGGAAAGATATCATTGGAATCCCTTTCAGAATGATTTCTTTCAGCCAATGACTGATAAAAACACTGGCGACCAATTAAAATCTTTCCTTTTAGTGCACACTGCGATTATGTTCACACGAAACTGAAGCATATTCTTAGAATAAAGAACATTTTCATCTGCTGGTGTGTGTGCATATATATCATTTAATAACTTTAGTTACTGTTATAGATATTAATCTTAAAAGTAATTCGTTCATCAGTCGGTCTATATTGGTCGTGCTGTTCATTTTTGCGTGCAGCCAAAAAATTGTGGTTTCATTGAATTCAAATGCTTTTGCACAATAGCTTAACATGCTAGCTTCTGGAATCAGCTGTGAATGCCAGTTGAGTCACGAGAGGAGCGCTATTTCTGTGAAGCATGTGAGTGACTGTTAATGAAGCTGCTGACAGTGATGATGCTGCCTATATAGCAGCTCAGTGAAGGATCTCTCAGCTGTCCATCAGCTCAGACTCTCAGCAGGGTAATTACCAGCACACTGACAAGACGGCACACCGAAATAAACTCACCTTTCAGAACTGACAGCTAATAACCACCCATCCTGCATTAGCTATACAGTTTGGATTGTATAAGCAGTTTATGCAACTGGATATTATATGGATTTTAAATTATGTGGGTTGTTCTGTTCTGACAGCGGTGGAAAAGCAATGCTAACTGCAAATAACACAATTAACCATAATAATTGTGCAGAGTGGTTAGGATAGTTAGAATGTCTTCATGGACTGGTTTTATGACGCACTCATCCTCAAAAACCATGAGCAAATTATGTAAGGTTAAAGAAATGACTGTCTATTTAGATTAAAGGTATAAATTAACCCCCAAAAATTCAAATTCATCATCATTTACTCACCCTCAAGTTGTTCCAAACCTGTATGAATTTCTTTCTTCTGCTGAACACAAAATAAGATATTTTATAACCAAACAGTGTCCGGTCTCCATTGACTTCCATTGTATTTTCTTCCATACGAACGTCAATGGGTAACAGCGACTGGCTGGTTACCCATATTGTTCAAAATATTGTATTTTGTGTTCAGCAGAAGAAAGAAACTCATACAAGTTTGGAACAACTTGAGGGTTAATGATGTTAATGATGACAGAATTTTCCAAATAGTTTACCTTGTCGGCAACCATTGTCTGCTTTGGCCAAAAAAAAACAAAAAAAAGCACAACACCTTTACCACAGGCAGCTTTACTGCACTATTTACACTTAGCAAATACCATCTAAATACTATTTTTTACAATACTTTTTTTTTTGTTTGCTGTTCACACTTAGTGTAAACAGCATCTATTGCTATTAAAAACATGGTTTGTGGCAATTGCAGGGTTTGTGCAATGAAATATTGGGCCTTCATGTGTTTTTACTGATCGGATAGCTATCAGATTTGTTAAAATGTTTCCATTTACACTTGGCCACATAAATGTCTTTCCACAAAATGGCTATAAATGCAATCTTCAATTCCCATGCTATAGGCGAATTTAGATATGCAACAGATATGCACTGTATTATATTCAACATCAAAAACCGCAATAGGAAAGAGAGCAGTGGTAAAATAATCTCACTACTAATCTCAAGTCTCACTACCTTTTAATGAAGATGACTGTGTGTTGAGCATCTGCAACTTACTTTCGGTTTAAAAAACACACTTAAGTGACCAGATGTAAACAGGCCCATTGACTCTCAAGAGAAAGAAATCACTGAATTTAGTCATTTAGAAACAAACAAAAAAAAATCCAGTCAACTCTGTGTCTTGAAGTAAAACCAGTTGAGAATCATTGCTATAGGTTTTTAGGAGTGTTCAGTGATTTGACTAATGTGTTTGGCATGAAGGCACAGTATAATCACTTACTCAGGACACTGACAGTAGACTCACTGGTCAGCTGAACGCTCATGGGCATCACATACTCGATGGTGAAGCAACGCCCTCTCTCTTCACCTGAGATAGAGAGATCACAGAGGACGTTATTATTACTCTAAGGTTGTGCTTTCATAGTTTAGGACACAAAACAAGGTTGCGTTTGTGTTTCATTTCATAGTACAGATAGGGCTTTGTTCACACCGATCATATAACAATAATCACAATTAATAACATGATTTCAGAGTTTTTCTCATTTAAAGTTCTATTCTATTGATAATAGATCATTCTAATGATATTCTAATTAGGGATGCACGATATTGGAGTTTTGCCGATATCCGATATTTTTCAACTCATTTTGGCCGATAGCTGATACCGATATATTTCCTTTTGTTTGGAAACAACTCCAAGTCTCTCCTGTGCAGAAATTATAAGCATTTTTTATTTTTTTTTTTGGTTAGCTTTTAACAAGAACTTATTTGTTAGAATTAATAAACAACAATGAAGTTCTTTTATAATGACAGTACATTGAAGATTTTAAAAGAACTATAAATAAACTATATTCAATCACTGCTATTTTTTTTTTTTCAGAAACATGCAGTGGTAACCTTAACATTTAATTTTAAGATATAACATTTGTAAATGGTCTAAAGCAAGAGTTGTAAAAATTCTGAAAATCTTTTAGAGCTCATAATTTGTTTAAAAAATAACATATTACACATTAATTAATAAATCAGTATATGTACATATACCAATAAATCAGTATATGTACAATTATTTAATTTAAGTTACTTTGTGTTTGTTTTTGTTTTTTGTTCATGTAAGCTATAGCTTCTGAACTTTAAATCAAAACATCCTCATGATTTTATGGCATCAATTACTGCTTTATTTAATCAGAAACACAGTCTAAATATTATTTGTGTATTTTGCTTTCATTTTATTAGAAGTAGGCCAACAGCGCCCTCTACGGAATCAAAACTCCTTACTGAGCGGGCATTAGGACCCGGGGACGGGCTACCGCTGCACGTGCTATTTCTGTTTACTCTATCACACACAGATCGCGTATGTGTTCATTCTGTATGTGCATTCTCAGATTAAATGCAGTGATCCAAAACAGTTAATCTAATCATCATTCAGGCAAAACTTTGAAGAATGAGCCACACTGCTGACATGATCTAATCGCTAGCACACCCGGAGCATATGTGAGTTAATGTATTCCTCTTATCGGCATTTTTTTTTTCTTCATATCGGCAGATGCCGATATTTACATTTCAAGCCATTATTGCCCGATTCCGATATTGGTCCGATAATATCGTGCATCCCTAATTCTAATGATATTAGATTATTTCTAATGACATTTTTAAAATAGGTTATTATACGTTTTATTTGAATTCTTGTAACACTTTTAACGGGAAAGTTCACCCAAAATTTAAATTTAAATTATGTCATTATTTATCATGTTTTTCAAACCTATGGCTTTCTTTCTTCTGTGGAACACACACACACACAAATAGATATTTAGAGAAATGTCTCAGTGTTCTTTTTTTGTCCAACACACATTTTTTGGTGAACTATCACTTTAAGGGCTGTCATCTGTGAGTCCAAGATCGGAGTCACTGACACTTTCCTCATGTGGTGTGACCTACAGGATCATGATATCTCAGTCAGTCTCATATCACATTTACACATTCAACACTATAACAGCCGCAGCAGTGCAACCTTCTCACATCAAAGTACAGAAATAATGTGAGACTTCTGAAAGTTTTTGATCCCAGCAGCCCGTCCCTGTAGAGCTCAAACGACTGCTCACATCTGTTCACAGTCATGCTCAATTTAACCTGCTGTAAACAGCGTGGGTTTGGACCAAACTCAGTCCAATCGCTCGCCCACATCTTCACACACACACAGAGCGCATTCTTTCACTGAGACTAATGTGTGTGTTTGTGCCACAGCAGGCTGTTGTTTGACAATTCAGAGGAGTGTGAGCTCAACATGTCATCTAAACGATAACGAAACATCCTGCCTCGAGTGGATAGACCTCCTCAATACAGCAGAACACATTCCATCATTAAACACGTCCAGAAAATTGCCATGGAGATGTCAAGGGAGGGCACAATAGAACTGAAACCTTTGTAATTAGCCCCGAATGCCTGACCAGCTAAAAATAATGGCGTAAACCAATAAATGAATGTGTGAAGTGTATTGGAACGAACTGAAATGACTGGCTATTTGCAGAAGAACAATTTGCAATACTCACAGTAAGAACTTATCAAACACTGTACAAAATAAGAAGTAAAACTCTTAAAAAGATAGGCTTTTTAAAAAATGAAAAATGTTTTTTTCCAACTCAGGAGGATAAAGTGATCTTTTCATCAGCAAAATCACTGTCTGGGTGTTGGTTAACATTCACTGGAATATCTCGCTTTGTATTATTGTGATGTAGTTTAATTTCTTAAATATCAGCACTGGGAGTTGGGAGTTTTATTCACACGGTGATCTCAATTCACACCATCAGAGAGGAAACATTCACAGCGGATGGTGTCGGGACAAGGCGTGAACACCAGGGAACCGCAACCAAAAAACAAACATCTGCAGTGAATGGGAACATCTAGACTCTCAAGAAAAATACTTAATTAATGAATTAATTTAAATGAATAAATAAACAAGCAAACCTGTTCTATACACCAGGCTTATACATGTAAATCATAGTTTAAAAAACAGAATGTACATTATTTAATTTGACCCCCTGATTTGGTATTTTTAATACTAATATTTTTCTTCTAATCTTTTTAAATAAATAAATACATAAATAAAATCAGTACATTGAATATTCTTTGTGGAAGTAAGTGAGATGTATGGAAACACGCAATACAGATTTTTTACTCGCAGTTCTGAGTTATAAAGTCCAATTCTAAGGAAAAAAAGACTATTTTCTTACAATTGCGAGTTTATATTTATAACACTATATACTTTATAACACGCATATGTGACTTTATATCACACAATTCTGACTTTATAAAGTTTACTGTATATCTCACTTTTCTGAGAAAAAAAGTCAGAATTGTGAGTTTATGACAGAATTCAGGGGAAAAAAGGATTGTGAGTTTATATCAGAATTTAGGGGGAAAAGTCAGAATTGTGAGTTTATGACAGAATTTAGGGGGAAAAAAGGATTGTGAGTTTATATCACAGAATTCAGGGGGAAAAGTCAGAACTGTGAGTTTTTATCACAGAATTCAGGGACAAAATGTCCGAATTGCAAGTTTATATTACAGTATTCAAGGAAAAAAGTCAGAATTTGTGAGTTTATATCACAGAATTCTGGGGAAAAAGTCAAGAATTTAGGGGGAAAAGTCAGAATTGTGAGTTTATGACAGAATTTAGGGGGAAAAAAGGATTGTGAGTTTATATCACAGAATTCAGGGGGAAAAGTCAGAACTGTGAGTTTTTATCACAGAATTCAGGGACAAAATGTCCGAATTGCAAGTTTATATTACAGTATTCAAGGGAAAAAAATCAGAATTGTGAGTTTATATCACAGAATTCTGGGGGAAAATGTCAGAACTTCAAGTTTATATTACAGTATTCAAGGGAAAAAAATCAGAATTGTGAGTTTATATCACAGAATTCTGGGGAAAAAGTCAAAATTGTGAATTTATATGACAGAATTCAAGGGAAAAAGCCAGAATTGTGAGTTTAAATCACAGAATGCAAGGGGAAAAGTCAGAATTGTGAGTTTTTATTACAGTATTCAGGGACAAAATGTCAGAATTGCAAGTTTATATTACAGTATTCAAGGAAAAAAGCCAGAATTGTGAGTTTAAATCACAGAATGCAAGGGGAAAAGTCAGAATTGTGAGTTTTTATTACAGTATTCAGGGACAAAATGTCAGAATTGCAAGTTTATATTACAGTATTCAAGGAAAAAAGCCAGAATTGTGAGTTTAAATCACAGAATGCAAGGGGAAAAGTCAGAATTGTGAGTTTTTATTACAGTATTCAGGGACAAAATGTCAGAATTGCAAGTTTATATTACAGTATTCAAGGAAAAAAGCCAGAATTGTGAGTTTAAATCACAGAATGCAAGGGGAAAAGTCAGAATTGTGAGTTTTTATTACAGTATTCAGGGACAAAATGTCAGAATTGCAAGTTTATATTACAGTATTCAAGGAAAAAAGCCAGAATTGTGAGTTTAAATCACAGAATGCAAGGGGAAAAGTCAGAATTGTGAGTTTTTATTACAGTATTCAGGGACAAAATGTCAGAATTGCAAGTTTATATTACAGTATTCAAGGAAAAAAGCCAGAATTGTGAGTTTATATCACAGAATTCTGGGGGAAAAGTCAAAATTGTGAGTTTATATCAGAATTTTGGGGGGAAAAGTCAGGATTGTGAGTTTATATGACAGAATTCAAGGGAAAAAGCCAGAAATGTGAGTTTATATTACAGTATTCAAGGAAAAAAGTCAGAATTGTGAGTTTAAATCACAGAATGCAAGGGGAAAAGTCAGAATTGTCAAGTTTTATTAAAAAAATCAGAATTGTGAGTTTATATCACAGAATTCTGGGGAAAAAGTCAAAATTGTGAATTTATATGACAGAATTCAAGGGAAAAAGTCAGAATTGTGAGTTTAAATCACAGAATGCAAGGGGAAACGTCAGAATTGTGAGTTTTTATTACAGTATTCAGGGACAAAATGTCAGAATTGCAAGTTTATATTACAGTATTCAAGGAAAAAAGTCAGAATTGTGAGTTTAAATCACAGAATGCAAGGGGAAAAGTCAGAATTGTGAGTTTTTATTACAGTATTCAGGGACAAAATGTCAGAATTGCAAGTTTATATTACAGTATTCAAGGAAAAAAGCCAGAATTGTGAGTTTATATCACAGAATTCTGGGGGAAAAGTCAAAATTGTGAGTTTATATCAGAATTTTGGGGGGAAAAGTCAGGATTGTGAGTTTATATGACAGAATTCAAGGGAAAAAGCCAGAAATGTGAGTTTATATTACAGTATTCAAGGAAAAAAGTCAGAATTGTGAGTTTATATCAAAGAATTCAGGGAAAAAGCCAGAAATGTGAGTTTTTAATCAGAATTATGGGGAAAAATGTCAGAAATGCAAGTTTATATACAGAATTCAAGGAACAAAGTCAGACTTTTGAGTTTTTATCAGAATTCTGGGGTGAAAAAGGCAGAATTGTGAGTTTATATAAGAGAATTTGGGGGAAAGAGTCAAAATTGTGAGATAAAAAGTTGCGATTACCTTTTTATTTTTATTCAGTAACGGAACAAGCTTCCATAGAGATGTGTATTACTTAAAAAAAAAAAAAACTTTTCAAGCTGTAATGTTATGCATATATGCAGTAATCCAGGCAAGTCACAGATTCTGCTAAATGAATAACTGTAAATGTAACGAGGTAAAATAGAAACAGCCATGTGTAATTACCTGCCAGAAAACAGACTCTCCAGAGGCCAGAGTGGATGGACATGCGTATGTCAGCGCTCTGGTTCAGAGGCAGGATGACGCCCTCCTCCAGATAGAGCCAGTAGTCAGTGCTGACGGCGATACCCAGCAGCCCCAGACTGCATACTGCAAACACACTGCTGAGCAGGGTCAGAGCCTTCCTCCCGCACGCGCTCATGCCAGAATTGCCTTCAGCAGGGGGCGCTCACCACACACAGATAATCTGAGGGAAACGCAGATGCAGTGCTGTCAATTCACAAAGAGCTGCTTGCTGACTGTAAATCAGGCGGGCATCAACTTCCATCTCCAGCAAATCTGACACATAATGAATCATGAAAACGAGATGAGAATCAACATCCTTACGGAAACAAGTGTTAGCGGAAGCACACAGATGCAGCTGGAAAGCCAGCAACACAGCTCACAATGTGAGATTGACAAGCAGCACATTCAGTGAAAATCCACACAAGGAGAGAGAAAATCGTTCAGTTGTTTCTGGACAAAAACACACATGCACACTCATGCATTTTCACATCTGTACATGTGTCATCTGAGCACAGCTGGAGCCGCTGAACATGTGATATATGTGTGAGACACTGATGCACAATGCAATATGAAACCGAATCACGCTGCTTGCTGTGTGGCATTGCAAAACTGACATGTCATATATGAATCTCCCATATGAAGTGCAGTATACCTGTAACTCAGAATGTGAGAGCGTCCATTGCTGCTGCGATGATGATGATGCACCTGTTTAAAGAGGGACACATTTGTGAGCTTCTTTACATTTAATGACAGATCTGGGACATTTACTGTGCAGAGATTATGTGCATGTTCATCCAGTTTAGCCAAAAAACAGTTCTACAACAATGAGGAATAATATAAACTAATACACATTTGGGTTTACTGTCTTATATGGCACATGTAAAACTCTTCACTTAAACGTTTATAAAGAATGACAACTGTGTCCCTCACGTTCTGAGCTGAATAACAACGCTTGTTTTCTGTAGAGCTGCTTTATAGCTGAATTGAGAGTGTTTCACAGTTGAACTTAGCAATATCGACACTTGTTACTAAAATAAACTTTGAATTATTTAGCTGAATAATGACTTCTGTAGAGCTGCTTTACGGGCTAAAATTAAATTAGACTCATAACTGGCGTTGCAACAATAGAACTGTTATTTTCCTGTTTATTTCTATACAGCTACTTTGAAACAGTCTGTATTGTATAGAAATAAATATGACTTGACTTGGACAGTGGTTTGTCTCAAAACTTAGAAATGTTTGGCTTCATTTTGTTATGTTTGTTTGTTTATTACCAATACCACTGCAGACTGTTTAGGGTTAAAAAAGAGCCAATTTACCATTATTGTTAATAAATTATTGTGCTGTATTATTGCTATGCAGTAAAATTAGTAGTGTAGAGTACAGTACAGTATAAGGAAACTTCAAAGATATCAGAGAAATCTTGTTTTTGTTTATTTTTATAGTGATGGGTAGCATCAACTATTACTATTTATTGCAAATGACAATAACTGTAGTAACCATGATAATTTAGCTGAAACTATGGTAACCATTGTGCATTTTTGGCAGCAGGAGAATTCCAAATCAGCAGCATCACACTGCGATCATCAGCCTAGTTAGTCAGCTCACTAGGTTTTGAGACACAGCTTTTATCTTTAAAATCTATTTAAATTTTCCCCGCTTTTACTGGTTTCATCACTGTAAACAAAACGTGTCTCTCTGCACATGTTGCAGCAAAATGACTTGAGTTCTGGACGTTATGTTCCGCGCACAGCTGCGTTCTCGTTATAAACATATGCAGCCAATTAAGCAATTTAAAACACATTTTAATACTTTTAATACATGTACACTATATCAACCAAATAACCATATTTAAAGCACAAATTTTAAACACGTTTTAATATTATATACAATGTGTAAATTCCACTAAGTATATAAAATCATGCATTTTAAGACGCATTCATCTGTGTTGACATGCAAAAAATTATGACATCAAATGTATATTTCTTCATCTGCATTGAAATGATGGTAAATTACCCGAAGGATGTTGTTGATGAGAGTAAATCCAGCTGTGGAGTGAAGCAGCTCCTCGCAGCAGTCCAGTCTGACCACGAGAATGAACAAGAGCCCGCGAGCGTTTTGTACGTGCGTGTGTGTATGTGTGTGTGTGTGTGTGTGTGTGTTGTGAGAGTACGTGCGTCGCTGGTGCAGGTTAACAAATCTGTTCGTTCAAACAATTCGTTGAAATTAAATGATTCACCGTTCAGTGATTCGTCGTCGAGTCATCACTCAAAAGCACAAAAACACTCCGAAAATGTTCAACTGAGGAACTTTGTTGCCATCGGTTGTATTTTTGTACTTAAAAGCAAACACTTTATTTATTTATTTATTTTAATTATGTAATTATTTTTGCTCTCAGACGTTTGCATGAGTCCTGGGGCCGGTTGCATAAAAGGTTTAGATTAGTCTTAAAAGTTAGTGATGTAGGCTACTGGCCACCTGATCAGGGTGTTTCTCTGCCTGTTAATGGAATAAATGGTAGACTATCATTTTACTGTATCAAAAATATAGGCTACTGTGCCATCAATGTAGTCCGATTCACGACAGATGACTCTTATGAGCTGGGTCTTTCTGGAGAATAAAAAATATACAGGGCATCTAGTGTTGAAAAGTTAGTACAATACTGTACTTTCAGTTTTGTCCGTTTTCAAAACGGTAAAGCAGTTTGTAAAAATGCAGAAACTTATCACTGACTGGCTATTCACTTGGCAGGCATTCAGTCTTTAAAAAAACATATAGAGCAATGTGCTGCAAATAGGCTATCTATTAACTTAATTGGCCTGAATGGCAGTCACTTTCTTAAAAAAGACCCACTCTTCTTCTTCTTTTTTTTAAAGATTTATTTTTGCCATTTTAGCATTTATTACAATAGGACAGTGTGATGACAGGAAGCAAAGTGGGAGAGAGGGGGGGCGTTGAGAAAGGTCAACGAGCCGGGACTCGAACTCAGGACGCCCAAAGCCAGTTAGGTGACCGCTCTTAGGTGATATGTTCACTTTGAAACTTGGCACAACTGTACAGGTTGGGGCACTGAACATTTTCAGAAATTGAGCCATTGCAAAAACACTTTGTGGTGGCCATGGCAACCATTACTTTCTGCCATAACCAAATTATGTGTTTTGTGTCATATCTATCTCCTGAACCAAACATGATAACACAGAAAAGGTAATGTCTACCCCTATGCTTCAATGGTCAAGGATTACAATGATACCACATACCACAACATAAACTGTTCAGGTGAACAGTTAATGGTGAAATCAGCAATGTGAGAAGAAAATCACTGTATCTGGGTATCACAGAATCACAGCATTTACAATATTTCATATTATGCCTATTAATTTTTTTCTTTCTTTGAAAATTAGCTATTTTATTCAATAATACATTGAAAGCTTGTTTCAAGAATACAATCATATTTTTCAGAGATATATAAAAAAAATAATCTCAAGTAAGTGTATTTTTCCTTACCTCTCAGGCAGAGTCGGTAGTGTGTTTCCAATACATTCTTGTTCTCTCTCAACAGCGCTCTAACATCAAATGCAGATGGCAATGCAATCTTGCTAACCTGCATTCTATGCACACCTCTTCTACTGCACCTCTCTCATTTTCTATGGGTCTCTGGAATATTCAGTCAGCTGTCAACAAACATACTTCATTCCGGCCATTGCTTCTCAGTCTACTTTTAGTATCTTGTGCTTGACTGAGGCCTGGATACGTTTAGAAGACTTAACAACCGCTTCTTTTCTCTCTAACAACTTCCCTCTCCATATTTATTGCCTTCTTGGTCAACTGGGTACCTTTAGGAGCTGGGTGGGCTGCTGTCCTCATTCTCTGGGGATGGCAGTCCACTTGTAGTCTTTGGTGACTTCAACATCCACCTGGAGAAGCCTTACACTGCAGACTTCCACTCACTCACACACGCAATTGTATCACAGACAACATTTTGGGAAAACCTCTAGACATCTCTGATAATTTACATATTACTACCTGTGTGCCACTGATTACTCTACCAGTTACTTTTAGGTGAAACCTATGCTCCCTTTCACCCTTCCATCTATCCTCTGTAGTGTCATCCTCTCTTCCCTCACCCACCCAATTTCTCATCTCTGGATGTGAAAACAGCAACTGACACTTTATGATCCACTTTCACTTCTTGTCAAGACAATATCTGTCTAGACAGGCCAGTGCATTCTACCCCTTCTAACCTACAAAGTTGCCCCGTGTATCATCAATTTTACTGTATTTTGCTGAGCAGTCATTTGGGTGGCTTGCCAGTGTACTAGATTTCTCAAATACAAAACATTAAGTAGGCATGACCAACATTTTTGTGGGAAGAATTTATTGAAGATGGTAGTGTAGCAGTTCTTACCTACCTCGAACTTACCTCATCTCCTACATGAGGAAGGCAAAACTCATTTATTAAAACTCTTATTCAAATTGTGAATAGTTTAAATACAGAAAGCAAGCAAAGAGCGCTCACTTTAATATAATCATTATAGCGGTCAATCAGTGGCAGCGTGACACATAAATATTATTCCACCCATTACATCAAATATTAGCGGTTCACCTGCATGTACCCACCCGCGTTCAGGACTTTGGCTTCCCCCATGAGGAAACTAACATAATAGATAACTCTGGGCCCAGAGAGTGATTGTAAATTAAGTTTACATGAAATATGTTTGAAATTTCATTCTGCCTCTTCTGAGATTTCATTGTAATCCTTCTCATAAAGTCATTGAATTAACCATTAACTGTTCACCTGATTGCGTTGCCGTCTGCGTTTGATGTCAGAGCATTGTTGAGAGAGAACAAGAATGTATTGGAAACACACTACCACCTACCTGACTCTGCCTGAGAGGTAAGGAAAAATACACTTACCCGAGATTATTTTTTTAATATCTCTAAAATGACATTATTCTTGAAAACAATATTTTAATGTATTATTAAATAAACTTCTAACCAGAAAGCGATCAAACTTTTACTGATGGTCTCCTACAAAGATAACTGTTTAAATGTGTTAACTGTTGTTTTCTTTTTATTATTCTTTTCCTTCATTTGTTTAGGTTGTGTTGTTCTATTTGGTCGGCTCTGTTCTGTACATCCCCTACTGTTTCTATAGAAACAGTAAATTGATTGCAACCACTTACCTTAAAATATTTTTGTAAATTCAATGAATAATTTTTTTTTAGTGTATATGTTCAAAATAATATCATTACACTGTAAAAAATAAATAAATAAATAAAATAACAGAAAAAGTACTGGCAGCTCATTACACGTCATTATCCATTAATTTTGCCGACATTTCTGTTAACTCTAAAACACAATGAAGTGTAAAATTCAAAATACTGGTAAAACACCTGTAAAAAATAAATATGGAAAAATTCCTTTAAATTATACAGTATATTGTTCACTATTTTTACAGATTTTTTTTAGAGTGTATTTATTAAAAAAATATACACATTAAAATATTAAATATACACATCATGCATTTTGTTGGTAATGTTTTGTAAAGATTAATGAATTAAACCAGTTTATGTTATCAGTTTTGTTTGGTATTGCCGCTTTATCACCAATTATTGAAATGCATGCATGCCACTTTTACAAAGACATTTTTAAAAAGTCAAGTCTGTTAAATGACCTTTTGTAATAATTGTTTTAAATGTTTTAATTCACCCTCATCTTATCACTTGGCCATGTGCTTCATTTTTTCAATGCTTATTCTTTAAAAGTACTAAAGTATTGTTAATGGAACCCTTAAGGAACAGGAATCAGTTGAATTCTTTATGATTCCCATCTTTGCTTCCCATCTTTGACTTTGGTTTCTTCATTTTGAAGAAATAAAACATGGACATTATCACTTTTGTTTATTTATTTATACACATTATCCTTCACAAAGAACAGAGGGACAAAATTTTGTAAAGAAAAAAAAAACCCAAAGATGAGTGATTTAACTTATTCAAACTAAAACACTGTCCTGGAATCCATAATTTCATAATAATAATAAATATATCTTTATAATTCCTGATATAATCTCTAATAAGAAATGGCTGGGTGGAATGTTCATATTCTTCAAATGTCCAGGGAATGTTGGAATGCCACCTCACATGCAGAAAAACCACAATCAAACACGTGAACGTTACATTCCCAAATACTCTCAATGTGAGACACTTGTGTTAACCTGCATCCTGCAAGACGACCACTTGAAAACTTTCTGAATCACTTCATAAGAGGACCGGCTCTATTTCCATTTCCATTTACTTCTGAATGAATGAAGAAATAAACATCTGAAATATCTACTTGTTTTTCCTTCCATACACGGGCTTCAATCATCAGGTCTATTAAATTTCTACTGAAAAATGACAGATCAAAATGATGAATCAGTGGTGAAATTCAACAATGGTGCACCTGATAACTACAGTATTTCCACCGAGGGGTTGGCACAGGACTATAGCCCAAACCGAGCGATCTAATGTGTAAATACAGCATTTCTGAAGTACTTTTTTTTTTTACTAGAATACACTAAATGATGTCTGAAGTGTGGTAAAACTGAATTCCCTATCTTTACCCAGTTGTCATACAGATCATTGAGACAGAGTTGCTCAGCAGTGGTCTAAATCGTCATCCACAGACTGAAACTAAACAGGAACAAAAGCAACAACACAAAGGAAGAGAGTTGAGGTGAGACAGATATGTAACAATCATTCCATGAGGACTCCGGATTCCTGGAATCATGCAACACGTTTTGCATGCGCCGATTTGCCCCACATGCACACAGCAGCTGCAGTACAAACACACATAGAGTATGTAAGAGCCCAGAGCCCAGTCAGTCTACATACAGCTTATCTACTATCAGCATAGAAAACAGAGCGGATAAATACAAGAATTACATGTAACAAAGGTTTGCAGATACCAAAGCTATCTCAAATTAGCCAAACTAGTCTTTTTGGATCGTCTAAACATAGAAACCATCTAAGTTAGTAAAAGCACATTCAGTTCTTAGTATAAAATCTGCAGGATAATGTACGCCTTCTCTGTATTTACAAAAATCCTAGTATATATAGTGTA